GAAGACGATGGAGAGATGCAAATACTTGGTGTCACCAACTGGAAAGAGAAGGTCAACTAGAGAGATAAATGGAGGCGGGTGATATCTGCAGCGATGAACCTCAAGGGCTTGGAATGCTGAAGAAGAAGAAGATCCCTAGGGATTGTTGCTGGAGCTATCGAGTTCATGCTGTATGTGTCGCTCTCAGTAGGTGGCTAGCTGTTCTGCTGAGGGACGCCGTGCAGTATGAGATACAGTTTTGTACAATGTAATCGATCCACTTGACTACCTTTGCTTTCAAATTAATATATAAATTATAACCTTTAAAATGTCCATCCTTTTTTGTGCTGTTGGCTAATGAAGGCTTGCCACTAGAACACTTGTTTGTTTTTGTAACTATAATTTTGTCAAGGGAACCTTCACTGAGTGTTCTCTCACACTTTACATTCCCACAACTTTACAGAAGTTTAAGTTTAAAACTGGGTTCTGCAGTGAATGTTGACTACAGAGTACCCATTGCTGTCTTTATGAATATTACCTGGTGCGACCCCCAATCTTTTCCATAATGTGACGAACTAGCACCCTTCTTTTTTCCCCAAAAAAAACTATTCTCCCCCCCCCCCCCCCCCCACCCTTTTACTCAAGGATCATAAAATTTTAAATTAAACTCATTCACTATCTCTGGACTGCAATTAAACCATTTTAATTTTTCTATATCAGGGAAAAGCTTTCGATAGAGTAAAATAAAGTGGCACCAGAGCAGAACAGGAATACTGCAAATCAGTAATGAATATTACATTTACAGTATGACTTTAAACTTGAAATGTCCTTAGTGGAATCACTAAACCATTGGAAATAACCAAAGAAGGCCCGCCAGAGATGCATATTGTCTCCGTAAATATTACCATGTAAATGGATACAGTTACCTTAGAGACTGTCACAGATGACGAGTGGAGTGCATATTATGAATATTCTTGCCTGCAACCTTTCCTTAAGTTCTGCTTCTTCTCCTCTTCCACATTTACCTCACCGAGGTGTTGGGGGAAGATGTAAGGATCGTTTGTGCACTTTCTCCAATGCAATGTACAAGTTGGTGTTCATTTCTGTTAGGTTGCACCTGATGGTGTCGCTCCATCTCTTGCGTGGTCTTCCCTTTGCACTGTATATTTCTTCTGTGTGGCTCTCTGTGGCAGTTGGTACCAGGGTATTCTCGTCAGGTGGCCAAACCAACTCACTAATTGTTCTTTAACGAATTGTATGACTTGGTCATCTGCAAATAACAGTTCTGAGATGCCATTCCTTTCTTCGTTCTCTGCTTCTTTGCATATATTGTCAGTGTATGTAATAAAAAGCAGGGGAGATAGCACATATCCCTGTCTTACTCCTGAATTTACTTCAAAAGGTTGTGATGAACCTGCTTTTGTTCGTATACAACTTTTACCTGATGTATATAAGCTCTTACGCACTTCAGTTAGATGTTTGCTGATTCCCTATCTTCTTAAGCAGTCCCACAATCCACTGTGCATGTCGTATCATACTCTATTGCTCTTTCTGTCAAGCTGTCTTAATGTAAATATTGCGACTGTTCAGCTTCTGTTATGTCTGAAACCCATCTGGGCTCCACAAGTAAAATTACATTGGTTGGAATCAATGACAGTGATACTGTTCCTTCTGCCATTGAAAACCACTGTGAATGGAATGAATTTACTAACACTGACCAAAACTAGTCAGCCCTGCCAAGGGGACAACGGAACAAATGTAAAGTTTCTATAAGATTTGAACAAAGAAGAGACAATCAACAGATTGCACAATTTATTGCCCGGCATATATTGCTTTATCTCGGCAGGTGCATACTACAGTAGTAATTGATTCAACTGAAGCAAATATATGAATCCTTCACACCAAAATTAAAAATCAACCCTTCTCAAAAGTAAGTGCCTGTTTGACCAGGACAAACACAGTCTTTTTGTTTACACAAATATATGGAGTTACCCTGGCAAAACAGTCTGTCAGTGAATAAAACAACAAGATGAGAGAATCACATGAAGAACTAACAGTAAATGTGAAAAGTAGGAATAGGAAGAGCTGTTGTGAAACAAAACATCAATGAAGGAACAGAGATGATAATTATATTTTTCCTTTCCCTCTTGGTTGAACTTCCTAGATATAGTTGGTGTTCGGGGAGTTGTAGTTCTGACACCAGCTGCCGGTTTAATTGAAAATTATCGGCAATATTTATGGTTTTACAAAATGCATGCTACATAAATAATTAGTTTCGTTAAGCTACCTGGTTGTGTGTCATTTAGATCGCTGTGGAGGAGTGCCATATTATTGTCTGTTCACATACTTTTGGACTCATTCCAAACCAAGCAACTTACAGAGTTTTCTCCCTTTGATTTCAGCCGACATGGTATACTTTTTTTTTCAGAATTGCTTGTGACCCATCAGTTGTTTAACTAACCCACAGTGTCCCAGTTCTAACATGAAATTCTTTCATACCATGGTGTTACAACATAGTTTAAGTTTACTACATCCCAATTCTTACTTGAAATTCTTCCTTTCTGTGGTGATATTACATAGTTTAGCCACAGTATCCAAATTCTTACTTTAATTTTCTTTCATTCCATAGTTTTGTTACATAGTTTAGCCACTATGTCCCCAATTCTTACTTGAAATTCTTTCATTTTGCTATGTTATTACATAGTTTAGCCATTATGTCACAATTCGTACTTGAAATCCTGCCATTCCATGGTGTTGTTACATAGTTTAGCCAGTTTCCCAATTCTTACTTGAATTTTCTTTTATTCCATTGTGTTGTTACATAGCCACTATGTCCCCAATTCTTACTTGAAATCCCACCATCCCATGGTGTTGTTACATAGTTTAGCCACTATGTCCACAATTCTTACTTGAAATTCTTCCATTTCATTGTGTTGTAACATGGTTTAACCACTGTGTCCCCAATTCTTACTTGAAATCCTGCCATTAGTTTAGCCACTATGTCCCCAATTCTTACTTGAAATCCTGCCATTAGTTTAACCACTGTGTCCCCAATTCTTACTTGAAATCCTGCCATTAGTTTAGCCACTATGTCCCCAATTCTTACTTGAAATCCTGCCATTAGTTTAGCCACTGTGTCCCCAATTCTTACTTGAAATCCTGCCATTAGTTTAGCCACTGTGTCCCCAATTCTTACTTGAAATCCTGCCATTAGTTTAGCCACTGTGTCCCCAATTCTTACTTGAAATCCTGCCATTAGTTTAGCCACTGTGTCCCCAATTCTTACTTGAAATCCTGCCATTAGTTTAGCCACTGTGTCCCCAATTCTTACTTGAAATCCTGCCATTAGTTTAGCCACTGTGTCCCCAATTCTTACTTGAAATCCTGCATTAGTTTAGCCACTGTGTCCCCAATTCTTACTTGAAATCCTGCCATTAGTTTAGCCACTGTGTCCCCAATTCTTACTTGAAATCCTGCCATTAGTTTAGCCACTGTGTCCCCAATTCTTACTTGAAATCCTGCCATTAGTTTAGCCACTGTGTCCCCAATTCTTACTTGAAATCCTGCCATTAGTTTAGCCACTGTGTCCCCAATTCTTACTTGAAATCCCGCAATCCCATGGTGTTATTTATTACACAGTTTAGCGCCACAGACCCAGACATTTATTATTTAGTCTTAGAATCGAGTGAGTTAAAGTAACCCCCCCCCCCCCCACCCCCCCCCCCTCCTTGGTACTGAAAGAGTTCATTTGTGCGTGCAGTTAAAGAAAAACAAAAAACATTTGTATGTGTTTGTTTAGTTGACTGTGAGTGAGTGTACCTGCTTCTCTTGTTGATGCTTTTGATGTTAACAAAAACCATGTTTGCTTGACCAGGTACATACAAATGTTTTCAGAAATTCAAAACAGTGTTTTCCTTGATTGAATTTAAATAGTGCAACACAAACAGTGCATTCAAAAATTTATTGCTGGGCATATTTCGCAATATATTGTCAATTGCAAGACTTCAGAGTTTCATCAACATATAGTGAAGCATAAAGAAATTAATCCTTTCCACTGAAATACATAAACCATGTTGTCTTCTCTAGTTGCACTACATCCCACCAATAGATGTTCAAGATAGCTACATTATTACCATGGAAGTTTGATGAAAACCTCCCTTTTTTTTTTAAAACAGGACTTCATTTGCTTGTCTCAAGGCTAGCAATTGATAGGGACTGTGGCTTCCTTGTTTTTTATCACACACCGAATATACCATTAGTTAAATTGATGGAAGCTGGAACCAAAAAAAAAACAATGAACAATCCCGCATTGTGCACACAGAATGAGCATGTGAAAAATGTTAAACTTCCCCTCGTGTTTTTGCTTGACTCTGGCCACATAATTGATGGGGACTGCCTTTTATCCTATTTACCACAGCCAGTAAACAATTAGGGAAATCGACAGAAGCTGTGATGATAAAAAAATGAACAGTCCCACATTGTGCAGACAAAACAAGTAGGTGTTACATGTTCAGCTTCCCTGGTAATCATGTAATTATCTGGAACTTCCATTGGTATAGAATTCTAATGTAAAAGAACAGCTCAGGTGTAACAGATGTTGACTTAGGCATGACTAAGACAAGAATTGTTCGATAAAAACATTACTATAACAATTATGAAAAAATTTTTTTACTTCCACTGTGACATTCTGCTGTATTCTACTCTGCCTTCAATGGGGAATGATGATGTTTCATTGTATAACAATGTTGCCAGTGAGAAATGAAGATGCTTCATTTTTTTTGTCAGTGGGATATGATGATTTTCCATTGCACAGCAATGTTGTCAGTGTTCAACTGTGCAGCAGTGAGAAATGATTATGTATCTTTGCACAAGTTCATACATAGTAATAAAAACTCTTTGTTTAAATGTTTACACAGTGATGTAAACATCTGCGGGTTTCAACATCTGAAAGTAGCCTAATTCAAAACTGATGTCTGTTACTGTCAGTTGTGCAAATGTTTTTTTTTTTCCTGTTGTTTCAGGTTGTCAGCTCCACCAATGGAGAACTTGCTCCTGAAGATCCAGGTGGGCAGTCCAACACTCCCATTGCTGCACAACCAGAAGTTGAGATCACTGATGAGACTAAGTAAGTTATTCACTTTTGTTATGTGTATACTTTTCAAATGCCATGTCAGCCATATCTGTTTCACAGAACAATTTTTGGGTACCTGTTTTAGATTCAGGCAGCCTGTGCCTGAGTAAATTTTTTTCCCTCTGCAAATTGCAACCTGGATGATTCAAACACATGTCCAGTATTTCTCAGTCGAATGGTAAATGTAAAATAGAAGCGGTAGGATCAGAAGTGACGATATCAGGAGAGAAATTAGGATGGAACCAGTACTAACTAGTTTCGTCGGCCAGCTTCTGAGTTGAGTGCATGGTGTGACACTGTGAGCTGCGATTGTTTTTTGTTGGAACAGGAGCAGAGCATATGTGGGTTGACCCGTTTGCTATGAAGCTGAAACTAGGATTACCAGATTACTAAACTACATCAAGAGACAATAGAACAAATGGTTTGGTAATATGTCAAAGCTGCAACGAGACTGCACCACATAGAGCCTTGTCACGGGGACATAATGGAAGCCGCTCTGGAGGTCGAACATGCAGGAGATGAACAGATGGAATAGCCGTTCTGTAAATACCAGCACACACCAAGGCTTGCACCCAATGTCTATTCAAAAGAAGGAAGAAGAAGAACCATTATCCTCTGCCTCAGAACAGGGCACAACCGATTATGCAACAACATGTTCACAAAATTCATGATAGTCATATCAGCCATGTGCACCCGTGGAAAGGCGCCCCAGACAGCAGAGCATGTATTCCGATACTGCACCAAATTTGACACATCAAGGCAAACCTTTTGGCCAGGCAGAACAACAATGGAACTTAAACTATATGGGCCACTAAATGAACTAAAAACGACAGTGAAATTTATACGAGAGACAAAATTGCCTATATAGACAACTTATTTCAGGTGAGCAAAAGAAGAAGACTAAGCCAACAAGTATCATGGCCAATGCACTACCACAGCCACCATGTCAGTGAAATACCCGGTTATTTTTGTTTTTGTTGTTTGTTTCTGTTTTATTTTGTTTATCTGAGCAGATACCAAGGGTACAAACGGTACTGTTGCCGATTTGATTTTGTTATATACATTTAGGTGCATCACTTGACTTTGCATTAACATATGAGGAATCTGATTAATCCTTTCTGCTGACTCACTTGTAGAATCTCTACTCATTTGTTTATGTTGCCATTTTGGCTTGTGCTTTGCTCAGAGAATACTGTTGTCTAGTGTATTTTATTTATTGTATTACTTTCAGTGCATTACTAGTCTGTGCATTAATATATAATGAAGCACATAAATCCCTCTAACTCGAATACACCAATCACATCTTTTCTTTGTTACTCAGTACATCTTACCACCGAAGTCTGAGATTAACCACGTGATCCTTTTGTTTACATACAGAAGGTTGCCTGTCCTTATTACCACTGCTTCCGCCATTTTTAATGAAAGCATGTTAAAAAAAGTAATAAATAACTCTGAAGACAATCCCTATCAGTCGCATGCCTGGAGTCTAGCCCGTGATGTCCTATGCAGGAAGTATATTCTTTCTTCATTATAGATCTTGACTCCTTGTAGAATCTCCACCCATTTGGTTAATTTTGGCTTTTGCTTTGCTTTAAATATCACTCTGTTCGACCAGTATAGGTTATTATCAAAAGCATTTCAACACATATAACCAGTTGTGTTTAGTGTACACAAACACTCATTTTTTAAATATTTTTTTTTTAAATAAAGCTGTATGTGTGTATTTGTCGGCTCTGTGGCTAAGTCAATGCGAACGCTTCGTAATGCCGGGGTGCCAGGTTTGAACCCAGCTACGGGCCATGCGCCTTGCATTGGTTTCAACAGTGGTATCAGGGGGCTGACCGTCCAGAAAGCATTGGCAAACTACTGGACATAAATTTGCCTAGAGAAACCACACAACAGCCAGGGGCTGTTGGGGTTGGTTCTGCAACGTCCTGTAAAGGATACGCAACTAACCAAAAAAAATGTGTGTATTAATGGTTGTAATTGATATACTTAAAAATTAGACAGGAAAAAAGACAAAAACATTTGATTTTCACAATCTTTTCCCCAAGTTTTGAAAGCTTATCTAACAGCCTATTCACTAAGTTTGGTGTACTTCATACAGTTGGTACCAGTGCCGTTTTTGAGCTGTGGATCATAGTTAGCTTAAATCTGTGGGGTCCTTTTATATTCTAAGGCCTGCTACAGATCCCATACTTTGTTAATGTTGGTACTGAAGAACATATTATAATTTATAAATATTAATGGCAACAACAACAGTGCATTCTAAAGTTGATAAGGTTTTTGTAACTGATGTTACAAACCCCAGTTGTCGCCATAATTAAAACACTAAAACACGACTATCAGTACCCCCCCCCCCCTCCCCCATAAAAAAATACCCCAGATTATAAGCAGCATATTCATACTAACATTAAGCTACAAGTGCAAAACATGGACATTTTCTAAAGCCCATATATGCAGAATCACCACTTGCAAAATGAGATGTCTGGGAGAGGCTGCCAGTTTAGCCATTTAGAGTTTGAGAATAAAATGATACTATCAGATAAATTGTGGGAACAACATTTTGCACTAGATTCATCGAGGAACAGCAGGCCGAGTGATTTGGCCATCTCGTTAGACTGCAGCAGCATCAAATACCCTCACAGGCATTACATCTCAGAAGATCAGCTAAAAGAGCAGGAGGACGGCCACACACAAAACGGATCAGCAACATTAAAGACAATTTATACCTTCACGGCATGGCAATAGCCATTGCCAGCCAACATTAAGATTATTCCTCCCCATGGTGCTTCTTGGAAGAAGTGGTTTATGATGATGATCATGATCATAAATGCCTTAAATGTGTTCAGCGAACCAACCAATTGGGAAAGGCCTCTGCAGTCAAGACCTGGTACATTTCATTATTACATATGAGCTTGTGCATTTGCCAAAAAAACTGGTGATATTTGGGTTAACGATAGATAAGCTAGCACACGCGAGCACAGCTTAGTCACCATTACGTTGCAATGTCAGTACACAGGATATAACTTATCTACATTTAAAAAATGAAACATTAAATAGTTGTGTTCAGAATTTTCTAAACTTAACTGAAACTATTAACTTATATTCATTGAAACATTTCTTCTTCTTCTGCGTCTGCACTCCTAAAAAGGAGGGCTGACTGTGCTGTGGTGTACAGCAAGGCTGCAATATCTGCACCTTTCTGCCTATCACATCCGATTTCAGCAAAGTCTTGATTACTCACCTTTTAAACTTTGATTGATAGGAAGACAGTCGGTGGGTCTATTCTCCTCCTCTCCCCGACACGGGGAGAAATTTGTCAGTAAATTAAACGTGCTTCTTATTTTCTGCTTGCTGTGTCTCCCTTTCATCTTGTAGTAAAGTGTAGACTTTCAGGTAGAGAAGGGCATTGAGGGATGAGAGAAATTACTTTATTGCCCTGAATATTATCCTTGCAAATATGGGAAGATTTAACAGATACAGAGGAGTGGCTAGCCGAACGGTTAGAGCACTGGGCTCGTATGAGGGATTTTATCTGTCTGGGGGCAAAATAAAATTCTCACCTACACAGTTGTGGCGACAGCACTAGCTATGCAGCCGTCAATCCTCAGGCTCAAAGACCCCCCCCTCCCCCTTACACCGCAAACATGGTATAATAAAGTCAGTAATTGGCAGTTAACAGATACAGACAGTGAGAGTGTGCACAGCGACAGTCATCAAGATACAGACAGTGAGAGTGTGCACAGCGACAGTCATCAAGATACAGACAGTGAGAGTGTGCACAGCGACAGTCATCAAGATACAGACAGTGAGAGTGTGCACAGCGACAGTCATCAAGATACAGACAGTGAGAGTGTGCACAGCGACAGTCATCAAGATACAGACAGTGAGAGTGTGCACAGCGACAGTCATCAAGATACAGACAGTGAGAGTGTGCACAGTGACAGTCATCAGGGATTTTCTAAACATCTGCACTCTTCTTCTTCTTAGTGTTTACCGACTGTCTGATTGTTTGTCCATTTCTAGACTTTGGTCTTTTTTTTTTCTCTAGAACTGGACTATTGTGTGCACTTCTGTATTACAGATCTGGCTTATTTATTAGCAGGCTGTTGGTTTCTCACCTTTCAAGCCTAATTAGTGTTGTTAATGAGGCAGTGAGTCCCCCCCCCCCCCCCCCCCCCCCAGAATGCTACCTTCCTTGGAACACACAGGGAAAATGCGTGTACTACTACTGAAGGATGGAGTTTGAAAACAAAACCCATAACTCTTTGTAAGCGCAAGGCAAAGGGCTTAACCACTTCATAGCTAACATACTACTTTAGAGGTTCCCAAACAGCTAAGACCTGCAGACCCCTCTTAGTGTTGTTGATCTGCTAGGGAACCCATACTTTGTAATGGTCACACTAAAGAAATTATTATAATTGATAAATAATCTTATCACTTCTGTCTTTATCTTTACTATTTGTAATATCTTCTGATGAATTATTCGTAATGTTAAAAAAAAAAAAGGCTTCATTCTCAATATTTCCTAGCATCTAAATATTTCTTGTGAAATGAAATAAGTTAAACCTGTTTTCTTCAGTTTAAAAAAAAATCAAGTTGTGGCTTTATCGCTTGAAGTATTTGTTAGTGTTTTCATGAATCCTCCAAAGATGTTTAACTGTTAGTTTATTTTTCTGGTTATTTTCTGATCTGTTTTTTAATTTCTGATCAAGTTTGTTTTGACTATGTCCATTATTGGTTATTTATTTAATATTCTGTGGCTTTGAGGTTGGTGAATACATTTAACAGTTGCATGATCCTTGAATACTAGGGCTCGTTTTCCATGGCAGATGTGGTTTTTTTGTGTGTGTAAATTTTATATTTTTAAAAAAAACCATTCTCATAGTTTTCAGACTATGGTGCAAGAAGCACATTATGAAAGAGATTGAGGCCTCACCACATAATATTCCCAAAGATAAAGATAGCAGGAGCCAACCTTTGTTGTGAAGATGGCACATCATTTATTGTGTTGGAGATCCATTGCAGCCAGCTTTTATTGTGGAGATGGCACCTGATTGGTTGATTCCTAGTGTGCGGAGATGGCACCTGATTGGTTGATTCCTAGTGTGCGGAGATGGCACCTGATTGGTTGATTCCTAGTGTGCAGAGATGGCACCTGATTGGTTGATTCCTAGTGTGCAGAGATGGCACCTGATTGGTTGATTCCTAGTGTGCGGAGATGGCACCTGATTGGTTGCAAAGACAATTGTACGGAATTGCATCCCCAACTGTTGTAGGATACTTTATGACACCTTTGTAGCTCTGGGGTTGACCTGCCTTATTAATGTGGGTAGTAGATAATTTTCTGGAAAATATTTAGGTAGAAAAAACTGACAATGAAAAGAACTCACCACCCCACCTCATTATGTTATAGCTTAGGGTAGGGCTGTTCAACAGAGTTTACTCAGGGACCAAACTGTTGAACATGGGGATGGTCCTGTGCCAGAGACTCCAGTTCCAGCACAGAAAGATCAGTCATCTGTTGTCCACTTGCTAGGCCTCTGCCGGTTGGACTCAGCTTGTGGCCAACCATTTAAACGGCTGTAGCATAGAATATGTAATGACCTTAGGAGGTCTCCGTGTCTAAGTGATCAAGTCGTTTGCATCATGTTCTCGGGATTGTGGCTTCTTTTCAGTTCTCGATCTATATTTTTCAGAGAACTCCAGTTATTGTCACTGGTGGTGCAGAATTTTTACTTTGTGCAGAGCTCTTGGTAGATGACTAGGCATTTTACCGAGACTGGACCACAAGGGATAATTTGGCATTGAAGCTGATTTTCTCAACTTGTAGACAGCTTTCCATCTGCCCAGACGATATTGTTATCTTGTGCTGTGAGGAGGCAGGGACTCCTGGGATTTCAGGCTCATTGTTGCCATCATTTATATTGAGTGTGTTTCTCTTCAGATCTCATCCCTTGTGCAGTCATTTCTCCCTCCTTCTTTCTCGTTCTTTTCCTGATTTTTGCTAATCCCAATGGTAGTGTCATCTGATATGGGGCTACTATTTGGTTCAGAATTGTCTGCATATTATTCAGAATCTTCTTTCCACCTTGATCTCTCTCTCTCTCTCTCTCTCTCTCTTTCTCTCTCTCTCTCTCTCTCTCTCTCTCTCTCTCTCTCTCTCTCTCTCTCTCTCTCTCTCTCTCTCTCTCTCTCTCTCTCTCTCTCTCTCTCTCTTCCCCCCCCCCACCACACACACACACACAATATTGTGTAAATTTAGATTGATCCCTCACCAACACCACACCCCACCCTTTCCCCTCTCATTTTTCCAGTTTCTTGTGCAATATTTTAACTACTTTGTAAGACATATATTCAATATGAACATTTTAGTGCTCCTGTAAACTGAAAGATTGTCTCATGTTGGCCAGCTGAAAGATTGTCTCAGATTGGCCAGCTGAAAGATTGTCTCAGATTGGCCAGCTGAAAATCGTCTCAGATTGGCCAGCTGAAAGATTGTCTCAGATTGGCCAGCTGAAATATTGTCTCAGATTGGCCAGCTGAAATATTGTCTCAGATTGGCCAGCTGAAAGATTGTCTCAGATTGGCCAGCTGAAAGATTGTCTCAGATTGTCCGGCTGAAATATTGTCTCAGATTGGCTAGCTGAAAGATTGGCCAGATGAAAGATTGTCTCAGATTGGCCAGCTGAAAGATTGTCTCAGATTGGCCAGCTGAAAGATTGTCTCAGATTGGCCAGCTGAAAATTGTCTCAGATTGGCCAGCTGAAAGATTGTCTCAGATTGGCCAGCTGAAAGATTGCCTCAGATTGGCCGGCTGAAATATTGTCTCAGATTGGCCAGCTGAAAGATTGTCTCAGATTGGCCAGCTGAAAGATTGTCTCAGATTGGCCAGCTGAAAATTGTCTCAGATTGACCAGCTGAAAGATTGTCTCAGATTGGCCAGCTGAAAGATTGTCTCAGATTGGCCAGTCTTCTTTCTACTTCTGGTAATTTACATTTAATGTTTTGTTTCTTGAAATCAGAACAGGAATGCCATCATAAGTTGTTTAAAATATTTGTGATATTTGTGAATTCCTCTTTTGGCAAGTAGAGCCATAAGTCATAAACATGTATGTGTTATATATGTGTGTATATGTTTATATATGTGTCTGTGAATGAATGATTCTAAATGCTTTGTTAGGTGTGCTATAAAATGTGGGCCACATAAGCATGACCATGCAAACTGTAGCTGTTTTTCTGGACGTCCACTTCTCTCTTCTTGCAGGTGCTGCTTCTTTCGCCGTCGCAAGAAGAAGAAGGGTCGTCACAGTTAAAACTGGGTTAGTAGTCAGATATTTGCTGGGTCTGGCATTGTCTGCAAGCTGTTGAGCATGTGTGTTTTTATTCATCATCATCATTCACTAACTTGTCCTAGACAGAGCTGTGGCCCCAATAACAGTATTTTGACCCTGTGTCTTTTGAAATTCCTGTCTGCCAGAAGTTGGTTGTGCTGCCTGTGTTGCTATCGTTAAAATTGTCGGATTTAAACCCATTGGCTTACTGGTTTTTCTGGTCTTCATTTTCTTCTTCTTCGCCACTTTTCTCAAGACGGAAATTGAGGTGTTTTGCCTGTTTGCAGCATAGCTGCAATAATTTGTCCTTTCTGCTAACACACCCAAATTCTCAAAGCATTTGGTGGGGGGGGGGGGGGGGGGCATTATTGTATCTTCATTTTATTACATAAGAGTAAAACAGTTATTGCCTTTGGCGTGTGAGTTGTTAGCTTTCACATTCGGTTGGCGGTTACCTATTGCCCAGACCATAGTGTTCATTTTCCGCATGGTGATAAAGATTGGGACTAGCAACACCAGCCGTCATTAAGAAGCATTTTTCACAATAAGTTCATGATGCTTAACTCCTAACCTCTCTGTAATCAACTTATCCTTTTTCCCTTTTCCCTCTCCATGCAACACAATCCAAGGCATCCTCATCTCCTAGATCCACCTCAGTACCTCTATCATTCATGTCCCTCTTGCACACATCTTTACATCACAGTAGAGGCGGGACACACACCCCCCCCCCCCCCCCCCCCCCCAACATATTCTGCCCATCTGTAATACACAATGCCATATAACCTTTGCTGCCCTCCTGAGAGACACTCAATTTCGCAAGCCTGCCATAGAGGAACGTCTTTGGGGAACTCTAAAATCCTCCATCCTCCAGGTGTTTCCTAGTTGTCTGAGTCGGCGAAGACGGAACATTGAGAAAACTGCTGTGATACCGACTGTTCCCAAGACCTAAGTCTTTATAATCTTGTCTTGCCACCTAATGAAAAGTATTCTTTGTAGACATCGAATGTGAAAGCTATTTTAGCTGTTTCTGCTGGTGCAAGTATCTTCACCAAATTTTCGCTATCATACAGATGACACAGTTTTCAGGTGGAACATGGCAGATAGTCGGTTGTGCCGCTGGTGCCATAAAAGCTAGTTGTTTCTATCCAAGGCATACCGATGCAAAATCACATTTCGTGACCAGAATTCCAAAGGTTCTCTCACCTAGCTACTGAGCTGAGATTTTGGTGCAACACTGTGAGCTGTAGATTCTATGTAGGGTGTTCTTTACTGTCAGCAGTGAGCTGCATTTCTGGTGGGAGACTGCTAATGTTGGCACATCTGTCAGAAACCTTATGCAGTTACTTCGCATGTGCGAGCTTTGTGATTTTAGGAAGGGGGCGAACTGATACGTAAATCACTAGTTTTCAAACACAGTGGCAATCTTTGTCGACCTCCAGCAGGCCTATGACAGAGTATGGAGGAAAGGTCTCCTGATGAAGATGATGAGCATAGGAATACATGGCAGATTGTATAACTGGGTGAAATACTTCCTGATAGATAGAACAATCCAGACTAAGATGCACAACGCAATCTCTTCTAAAGAAGTCTTGGAGGAGGGCTTGCCACAAGGCTCATCATTGAGCTATACACTATTCCTAATCTTTATCAATGACCTGCCAGAACAAATCAAGGCCGAAAAAGCCTTGTACGCTGATGACCTAGCAATATGGCAGAGTCATGAAAATGTGGAAAGTGGAGCCCAAAGACTGAATGGAGACCTTAGAAGGGGATGACCCATGTGTGGTGAAGTTGGAGCCTCGACTAACTGACGATGACAAATCACACATTTTCTAGGCCACATCATATTGTGGCCTTTCCTTCACAAACATATCTGAATATTGATTGTCTGGCAATATGTTTTCAGAGGCTGAATTGTCTCCAGAAAGTAATCCTGTCTCATCTAGATTTTGAATCCATATCACTGTCATAGTATTCAGTTTCACTAACCAGTATACCGCCATGAATCTTTTTAGAGTACATATTGTATATGATAGAACTTTGTCAATGAGACGGTAGTTTCTCGTAAATGAACATTTTTTTTTTAAATTTCACAGAGACAATAAGTTGGAATTTTTTCTTTACTTTTTAAACTTGCTTTCCCATTTGGTGGTGGGTCCACAGAACCAGTTTAAAGGGTCCTTGATATCTTTTATACAAACTCCCCCAGCATAGAAGAGAGAGAGAGAGAGAGAGAGTGAGTGAGAGAGAGAGAGAGAGAGAGTGAGTGAGTGAGTGAGTGAGTGAGTGAGAGAGAGAGAGAGAGTGAGTGAGTGTGTGTGTGAGAGAGAGTGTGTGTGTGTGTGTTTAAGTGAGTGAGTGAGAGAGAGAGAGAGAGAGAGAGAGAGAGTGAGTGAGTGAGTGAGAGAGAGAGAGAGAGAGAGAGAGTGAGTGAGTGTGTGTGTGAGAGAGAGTGTGTGTGTGTGTGTGTTTAAGTGAGTGAGCGAGAGAGAGAGAGAGAGAGAGAGAGAGAGAGTGAGAGAGAGAGAGAGAGAGTGTGTGTGTGTGTGTGTTTAAGTGAGTGAGTGAGAGAGAGAGAGAGAGAGAGAGAGAGAGAGAGAGAGAGAGAGAGAGAGAGAGAGTGAGTGAGTGTGTGTGTGAGAGAGAGTGTGTGTGTGTGTGTTTAAGTGAGTGAGTGAGAGAGAGTGAGTGAGTGTGTGTGTGAGAGAGAGTGTGTGTGTGTGTGTTTAAGTGAGTGAGTGAGAGAGAGAGAGAGAGATTCCAATATTTTTAAATTATACTAAGTTCTACAGTATCGCTATTTAAAAAAAAAGGATAGTGGTGCATAGCAGGTTTTTGAAAATAAGAGGTCCAGGCCAATTAAGAATCACTGCTTCTAAACGAAGACACAAAACATACACTGCACAATTAAGTGCCAAGTGTATTTCTTTGTATATTGTCAGATGCATACAAACAGATAATTAAGCCAAAAAAATTTGATCTGTTTACCTGAAATAGTCGTAATGTCACATAGTTTCTTGTAACAGTACCTTTCACTATGGATGTCTTGAAATTAGCAGCCATCATCTTCATTTGCAGAACTTTGCTCTCATCACGGACTGCCTGAAAGAAACCTGGTCTCTTGCCAGCTCTCCCGCCTCATAGGCTTTTATTTAAGGAGTCCTATCCTGCGCCCATTTTCATGTTGATCGGCCTTGCCTCTCCTTCCTGGTACCATACCTTCTGCTATTATTTCTTCCAATCCACCATGGCACTTGATATATGATGACAGAACTAGCGTACGGCCCCCAATCCTCAGATTCATGACCTCCTGTCTACACCAACCTAAAAAAAATGGTAAAACAGACAGTATACGTATAATATGTTCATGAACGTGTTGGTTAATAAATGGATTGCAGATAATTATACAGTCATCCAGGTGCCATCTCCACAACAAAGGTTGGCTGCAGTGAATCTGCAGCAGTCCCTGAACACTCAGGTTGTCTTTCTATCTCTCTCTGTCTTTCTATCTCTCTCTCTCTCTCTTTTTTTTAAAAATAGATATTATCTACCTACTTGTAATGCCGACTACCTCCTGCTTACCTGTCTTTAATATTTTCCTCCATTATTATTTTCTTTTTAATGTAATCTTTTTATGTGACCACAGTACTTTTTTTTTTTTTTTTTTTTTGGTCTGAAAATTATTTTGGTAAAGTTATCAGTTGTTTCAATATTTTTTCATTCTCAGTCTCTCAAAGTATAAAAATGATTGCCTTGGCCTTGTCGTTAATAAAACTTCCGCTCTATGGTCTCAGTCCTTCTTATAATTCTCTGTTTGTCCTTAAAAGGACTGTTGTCATGTTTGGTTGTGGTTTACAACTAGGCTGCTGTATCTGTGCCTTTCGACTCATAATTGGATCTAGCAAACTCCTAATTAGTCGCTGTTTGTGGGGGGGGGGCTGTGTCTGTTCTTTTATTTTGCCTAAAATTTGCCTTTCAGCTCATAATTGGATCTAGCAAACTCCTAATTAGTCGCTGTTTGGGAGGGGGGGGGGGGGGGGGGAGGGCTGTGCCTGTTCTTTTATTTTGCCTAAAATTCGGAGCATCAAACCCCACCCAGGGGGCAGGGGTCTCAATTCTAGCTCAAGGGTAATGGTTAGCTAGTGGATAAGAACAAGTTTAATACTTCTAAAATTCGCATGTCATTAACTTATTTTTCAAATTGTTTCAGATGCTGCGGCTGCTTTCGATGGAAAAGCACGCAGTCACAAGGAAAATCTAAACGCCAAAAATGACAGAAAGCACTGAGCCACCAGAGGGATATCAAATCACAGCAGCCGCCAGACTTCTCTTGTGACAGTCTCCCAACAGAAGTCTCCGCAACTCCTCGTTTATTCTCCCACGAAAACCGCAACACAGACGACGACACCTACCACCCTCACCTTCCAATAATCTCGCCGCCGGCAGACACCAGCGCCCTCTATGGGTTGATCAACCAGACCTTTTTGTGATGCTGCTTCGCTGGTATTTGAACAGTACAACACAGTTTTTATTTTTTTAATTCTAAAGTTATGTATGAGAAGTCCTGAATGTTGCACATAGGTCAGAGCCAGATTTATACTTGATGAGGCCCTTAGCTGTGTAAAGCACTGAGGTCCCCAGTGTTTTAAATGTCACCAGCTAATCTCAGAAAACTAAAGTATATTTACTTTTTAAATATGTGGATTTTGGAAATATTTTGTTCAGTTTTAAGGCAAAGAAACAATAAAGAGTCTGCACAATCACAGAAGTTATATAATCCCTTTAATGGTTCTAATAAATTGCCATTGCCAGTTGTCCAAGAAAAATTCCAAATTTGATCCTCTTTCAGCCGCCCGGAGGCCTGCTATTTCGAAGAAGGGTCCTTAGCTGTCTTATATGGTTTCCTTTTATTTGTGGTGTTCTAATAAATAACATTTATGACCCAAAAAAAGGGGTAATTTTTTTTAGGCCCTTGCAGATTG